TCATACAAATCAAAAGACAAACCATCAACAAAAACCAGTCAATTAAATAATTAATCAAATCAATCAATCAAATCAACTAATATGGAACATACAACAACCATCAATAGGTGACAATGCCATAGTCGAAACTCATGTACTTACACTAACTCGTAGTAAACTAGTAAGCCCACTAGTTTGTTTTGTTCATTCTTTAAAAAAAAGTCAAGGGTAGTTAGGTGAATGTACGATAGATTTTTTTGGAATCAAGTAAAGTGGCCATGCAATTGTACAAATATGTGAATAGTACGTAGTATTTAATTTAGTTAGAGAAACGTCCACTTCTATTTGAAGGCAACCGATTTAAACTCGTAACTATTGAATTAAAGACACTCATAACTCAATCTTTATTTATTTTTATATAATAAAGTGTATATATTTATTTATTAGATGTGATTTGATTCCTTAGGCTTTAATTGTGGTATCTGTCTCACAAAAAATAAAATAGAGCTTAACAATCACACTTAATTGATCTATACTAGAATTCTTCAACACTTCTCTTATTATAGTACTAACTACTTCATTTCCTTGAGCATAATGCATATTTCTAATTATGCGAAAGTTCTCTTTTAATGGAACGTACATCAATTAGCTTTATAATTAGGCTAAATGTTAATTCTAGATCTGGCTTCTTGTTGAAGAATTGGTGATTTACTGGTATCATACAATTCCTTGATTTGTCTGCCTTTCTCTATGTGTGGTGATTGATGTGCATCCATCCTTTTAATGTGTTTGATTCGTATTTTGTCGGTTTCTAGCTAGCCTAGATCGGCTTAAAATATAATAACACGTTTCAATTTTTAGTGAGTTTGATCTCGAAGTTTATTGGTTGACTTTTATGCTGAATATCTAGGCATTGTTCTAATTAATCACCTTATTTTTCCATGATTAAGTAAATTAAGGGTCTACTCACATTTACTGAAATTAGCTGAATTGAACTGAACTGAATTGGTTGGAGCTGAACTGAACTGAATTGAGCTGAAATGAATATTTTATGAGAGAGGGAAATTAGAAGCTGAACTGAACTGATTGGAGCTGAGCTGAACTAAACTGAAATAAAGTAAATGTGAACAAGCCCTAAGTTTACAAAAGATAAGTTCATATTAGCGTTCTCAAGTACTAATCAAATTCATAAAATAGGCTCTAATGGGTTCAAATGATTTCAATAACAAAAAGGTAAATAAAATGCACCCTCAAACTCTTGTACATACAATGTTTTTTTTTGTTTAGTTTTGTTTTGTTTTTTTTTAATTAATTTATATATATATATATATATATATATATATATATATATATATATATATATATATATATATACGGGGAGGTTCCGCTAAAAACAGAGCTTATGGTGAAAACTAAAAACAAGCAATCTTAGCCATTGAAAGTTCACTAGATGATCTGATGGTGTGAAACAACCCAGAGGTCACTATATATAAAAATAAGGTAATTATATCAAGTTATATTAATTTTGATGACATTTACACCGAGGCCACTATATATAGAAATAAGGTAACTATATCAGTTTTTACAATATTTACTTAGAGGTCACTATATACAAAAATAGGGTAATTATATCAATTTTGACCACATTTACATAAAGGTCACTATATACAAAAATAAGGTAACTATATCAATTTTGACCACATTTATACAAAGCCACTATATATAAAAATAACGAAGGTCACTATATATAATAATAAGGTAATTATATCAATTTTGACAACATTGACCACATTTATATAGAAGTCGCTATTTACAAAAATAAGGTAACTATCATCAGATTACTTCTCCTGCTCCTCCTTGTCATCAGATAACTTCTGCGCTCATTAACAAATGATGCTTTCTCCTGCTGTTCCTTGTCATCTGAACCTTTCTCCTGTTGTCCTTTATCCTCTGATTGTCCCTTCTCCTAATTCATTGAAATAATACAGCACGTCAGCACCATAATCCTAATCAACAGCATTCACAGCAACAATATAGCATAATACAAAAAGTAAAAGAAAATCGAAACAAATTCACACAAATTCTTGCAGAAAATCCAAACAAAAATTTCATTTCAACTCTCAAGATCTTCCATTGAGTGTACATTTCTCCAACTACTTCAGATTAACAGTAAACGCAAACCAAATTCGATAAACAAAGTAAAAAATACACGAAAAATCGCAACGAAAACTCAACCAAATAACAATTAAACTACTAACAATAACAATAACAATAATAATAATAATACTTAAAATCGAAGTATAATTTCACGAATTTTTCGAAATTTAGTTACATAAGCAGTCATCTTTGGCCATGGTCCTTCATCGAATGCTTTCCGAGCAGCAGATACTGCTCTGTTCACATCTTCGGCATCTCCTTCAGCAACATCAACAATCACTTTCCTAGTCCGATTAACAACTAAAACAAAATATCGTTCAAATCTACTCCTATGAAAATGTACTGAAGTCGAAACTCAAAAATACAAATCAAATCGATAATTTCCACCAGAATAAAAACGAGCAAATTTACGATAAAAAAAAATAAAAAAATTCAGAAACGAAGAACTCAAAAAATACACAAATCAGAAACGAAAAACAAAAGCAAAAGCAACACATCATAGTAGCAAGATCTCAAACTAAAATCAAGCTAAAACCTAATTTACACAAAATACAATAAATTACACAAATGAATCTCAAAGAATGTTATACGAAGAAATTAAGTTAAATTTGAACATAAGTACCCAAACCTAGGCCTGCTAATCTCTCTCCTCCTCCTATACTCAACAGTTAACCCAAACCCAAACAATATGCAATATACACTGGAATTCATATCCAACAAGCCACAACCTCAACAAAACCTTCGTTTTCTCTTCGTCGCTTAAGTTCATAACAATAATGTCAACAAATACAAAATTAGAATCGTGAAATTCAAATGGAACAAGCCACAACTAAAATTAAAATCGAAACTCAAAAAATTTGAATTGAAAAATTAGTTTGATTTTAATAAAACTTAGAAAATACAAAATTAAACATAATATAGAACCACAAAATAACATTATAGCTAAAAAAACAACAATATGAAGAAATTAATTTGAATTTAAAAATAAATTCACGCTAAAATAAAGAAAATTAATCGGATAATGTAAAAATGATATAATTAGCGAAATCAAAATCGATTTACTTACTTGATACTAGATCGTAGACGATAATGATAACGAATTTGATGAAGAATCGAAGCTATTACATCATTGTGATTTTGAAGTAGCATGAAATTAGAAGAAGAATCGAGAAATTTGAAGTAATGGAGCTTTGAACAAGAGAGAGAAAGGAATAAAGTATATAGAGAAAGTTACGGATAAAGGCAATAAAAAGGACGAACATCGCGTGTTTTTTTCCTCTAATCTCAGCCATTGATTTTTGTGGACGGTGGAGATTATATGTTTTCAGTTTTTAATTTAAGCCTTGTTTTTACATGATCCACTCCCTATATATATATATATATATATATGGCTAGTCACACAAAACTTTAAACAACAAATAAATCATATTAAAAGTTTTTGCTTAATTTTAAACTAAAAGCCATTCCCCTATATCAAAAACTACAAATTTTTATATGTGGTTGGTCACACGTCATAATATTATTATAGGAGTTACTCGATAGTACTACAAAGGTTATCGCGTCATTATTATTTTGTCTTTTACAACTAGCCAACCATTCAGGCTGATTCAAAACTGTTTTTAAGAAGGTTTAGAAGCAAATACTATAAGACTATTTCAGTTTGATACAATCCATTTTACAGGTCTAAATCATTATTAGAACACTCCCTAAATTTTAGGCCAATTATCTTAGATAAATTTAGGTGAAGATATTAGATATAACTATTTATATTAAGAAAATATTAAAATAAAGTCCCTAAATTAAATTTAAAAAACAATTAGGGGCAACATATTGTCGGCGCAGCAGCATCAAGTATAGTAATTACTGGGAGAGTGATAATGCGAAATTACCGGAACTCAGATTTATTCCACACACTTCCACTTCATTTTAATTGACTTTCTGCCCCACCACTCTAACAAACTCTTCCCTCTAATTTTTTTCAATTACTGATAACATAGGCAAGGTTAGAAAATGCAATGAGTACTCAGTAATGACAATTATTTTGTGCAACATTTTTAAATTATACCTTTAATTTATTAAATAAGAGCAACTCTAATGATTGTATCTAGAGATTTGCTTGCAATTTCGAATAACTCTAGCTAACAGGTTGATCATTGGAGCTAGAACATAGAGCTAGAATATGCAATTGGGTTGGCCAAGCTAACTTGCTTGAAAAAACTAGTCAAAAAGAAATTACTAAAAGTAAATTATTAATTATGATGAAAAAAAGATAAATTAATAAGGTTTAATAAGTTTAGATAAGTTTTAATAAAATAAGATAAATTCAAATAAGTTCAGTTAAGGGAAAATAAGTTCTTATAAGAGTTATCTAGTATAAATTACAACTAAAATAAGGTTTAATAAGTTCAAATAGGTGTGTTCTATTCCCCCGATTTTCACGTATCTGAACTTACCTAAACTTATTATACCTTATTAAAACTTATTTTAGTTGTAATTTATATTTGGATAACTTATTTGAACTTTTCTGAATTTATCTAAATTTATTACACTTGAAATAAGTGAAAATAAAATAAATATAATACTATCTTTATTTGATTCAATTATATTGATTACATTTGAATATACTTATTTTACGATAAAGATAAACTATTATTTAAAATTAAAAGTACACCATAAACCCAACTACAGTATCTAAACACTAATCCACATTCAACAATATTTTTTTTTGTTTAATTTCCAAATTTTGAAACCCTTATTTTCGTAGGTCCTCCTTTTGCAATCTCTCCTTTTGCACGTACTTGAGAGTTGAAACCACCCTTAACTCTTACGGAGTAACACTTAAAAAAAAACTCCAATAAAAAAAATAAAAAAAAAAAATAACCAAAAAAAATCCGAACCTATTTTCCCGGTAACCCTTGGAAACAATCCCCTCATAAATTGCAGCCTCTTTAACACGTATATAATCCTTCCCTCCCATCAATCACTTCTATTTCACACACCCTTTCCTCACTTCCATTATTCCCTCTCTCTCTCTCTCTCTCTTCAATCCTCCTAAAAACAACCGAAACGCGTCGTCTTACGTCCTTTCCCCATATCACCCGCTTTTAATTCTGCGCAAAAGCTGTCTTCCAGAATCATCATATTTTGAACCCCCACCTCCTTACTTACTTATTGCTCCGAACTTTGGACTCTTTTTATCCGATAGCTTGGACCATAAAATAAAATTATTTACTAATTAACAAATTACGTAGCAATCGACAATGGGTAAAGGAAGCAGAGATTGGTCACAGATCTATGCAATCTACGGCATGGATGAATGGCAAACATTCTTGTTTCTATTCTTCCATGCCTTGATCTTCGCTTCATTCTCCGTGTTCATCCTTCACTTCTTCGCTCCATTTACGAGCGTCCTCTCTGCTCTTCGGGTGTTCGCTCTGCTGCCCCCGGGATCTGCGAGGTTTGTCGCCGGCTTGATCGGGTCGGTGACGGCTTTGATCGCGGTGTGCTTGCTGTTTGCGGCGGCGAATTTCTTGTACTCGGCTGTGCCGTTGCGGTGGGAGATCTCTCAGCGGATGATCTCCGCTGTTACTGATTGGTCTAATGTTAAGACTGCTCTTGATGTTGGTTGTGGAAGAGGTAGGCTCATTCTTATATGTCACTCTTTTATTACTCCTTCCGTCCCTTAATTAGATTATGGACGCTAATTGTTATGTCATGGAGTCTTAAAATGTATTTAAGGTTTATATAACTTTTGATTATATGTAAAGTGATGGAACTCATAATCATATAATTTTTGCTTATAATGGTATGGTTTATGGTAACAAATTAACTATAATCTAGTGAGTGCCTTTCTATAAAAATAGAAAATACTGGAATTTTTTTATTTTTTTTATTTTTTTTATTTACAGTAATCTTATTTGAAATATAGAAAAAATAAAATTTACTTTTATCTTTTGTAACAGTATACAATGTTAAATTCAAATAATTCAGAAAATCATTTACTGTATTATTTTCTTATCTTTATTCAATCATTAAATGTAGTACTAGTATATGAATAGTACCTTCGTATTAAAGTCAAATATGTGACGGATGAAAACAAAAGGTAAAAAACTAAAAATGGATTATTTAATCTCAATTTCCGAAATACTTTTTTTTTTTTTGAATTTTGATGTTACCTACTAATTAAATATATCATTTGTTTGTCTTTTATTTTTAATTTTAAGTACTTCGTTGTCAATAGTGAAATTTAAACTTTAACAATAGAAATGGCGTGATTATAATTTATAAAGGTAAAAAAAAAAGTCATTAATTCTAGGTAGAAAGGGTTACGCTAGAACCATAATTATGGGACAAAAGGAGATTAATTTATTTAATTAATGCATACAAATTCCCTTTTACTTTTTTTAATGAGAACAAAAGTCACGGAAAAAAGTTTAAATTTTTACAGGTATTCTCCTAAACGCGGTCGCTTTACAACTAAAGAAGCAAGGATCATCAGGCCGAGTAGTAGGACTAGACCAAAAGCGGTCCATAACGTTACGAACGTTACGGACCGCTAGTCTAGAAGGGGTCCAAGAATACGTCACCTGTCGAGAAGGTGACGTAAGGAGACTGCCCTTCCGAGATGACTACTTTGACGTGGTCGTCTCGGGGGCAGCGATAAGGCGGGCCGGGGGAAAGGAGGAGCGTGAGAGGGTGGTAGGGGAGATGGTAAGGGTGTTGAAGCCAGGTGGGGTAGGAGTAGTGTGGGACCTACAGCACGTGCCAGAGTACGTGAGAAAATTGCAAGAATTACGGATGGAAGAGATTCGGGTATCGGAACGCGTCACTGCATACATGGTTAGTAGTCATATAGTGTCGTTTCGGAAGCCTTGTTATCAGCAATTACAGAATATGGTGGGCCCTGTTTATTCTTATGCTGGGGAAGTCAGACTTGACTGGAGATGCCACAATTTGTGTTAATCTTTCCTTAATGAAGTATTAGTACTTCCGTCATTCACTTTTAGTTGCATCAGTTTGATGAGAAACTATTACGGAGTTTTTTTTTTTTTTTTTACTTCTTTTAGGATTTTGGGGAGGCGAAGCCAATCCAAGATTATTAAGTGAGAATTTAGGGTGAGTGAGAAATAGGGGAGAATATATTATGATGCTCTCAATAGAAGGGATTGTGAATATTGAAACTTGAAAGTATATATACTATTAGTATTAGTATTGATATTAGTCTAGTACTAATTAATCTCCCAAATAAAATAAGTCCTACTTGTGTGTAGATGAGTTCTCTTGGAGAAGATGGTAATTCTACTAGAGTGGATGTCTTTAATTACTGGAGCTCATGTATACTTTTGATACAGTACTAATGTTTTGACTTTTACATTTGTAACATATCGTTTGAGTTAATGTATACTTTTGATATAATACCCATATTTTGACTTGTTGTATCATTTTATTTGCCACACTTAATTTATGCATTATTAACCTGTTTAATGTTGAATAATTTGAGGATAAAAACATGATCACGTAATTCAACTAATCTATTACATCCGTTACACATTATTTGCAACGAAAGTAAATGTTATTGTAAAAAGTTGTGATCTGCGTTTTACAATTATGAGGATAAATGAAGAAGTTCCCATACTCCAAATATAGAATGTAATTATTTATGGTCATCCTTTGATACAAGCTTTTATACAAGTAAATTTAGTAGAAAACTCATTTTGTAACTTAGAAATCATGAGATTGAGCCTCATCTACAATATTTGTATAGGAATAGAGGGATTTTGTTATTACCACCCTTTGTATCTCAAACGTTGATTAGTATATGTAGATTAGTTTAACATATGGAGGAGGTAGCTTAGTGTTGGTTCAATATGATTCTATCTACTTAAAAAAAGCTTTACATAACGTCATTCACTTCAGCTTAATTTCAGTTCAGTCTAGCTTCAATCAGTTCACTTCCGCTCCTAATTTCCTTCTCTCATAAAATATTCATTTCAACTCAGTTCTGTTCAGCTCCAATTAGTTCAGCTCCTATCAGTTCAGTTTATTTCAGCTCAGTGCTGTAAATTTGAACAAGTCTTATAGTCAACTCTTTGCAAAATTTAATTTTTTTTTTTTGAATAGCAAAAATATTTCATTAATTAAAAGTCATACGACATCTACAATAGAGATTCGACGTTAACAAATACATAAGATATTGAATCAAATAGAATTTTCCTTCATAAAAAACTACGATCGTCGAGTAGATCTTGCACTGCGGAGCATCTCCCGCTTATATCGCTGAAAATTACAGCCTTGTTGGAGAGACAATCTAACGATCCTTTGTAGCCGTGAGGATGATTTCCTTATGATTCATTTGTTCGTATTCGAAAACTTGATAACTTTTTCACCAACGAAATAATTTCTCGACAATTCATTAGATCTGCTACCATGGATTCAAACTAAGAAATTTCTTCCTCAAAAAGAGGAGATAAACCTTGTCTTTCGAAGGAGGTCGAAAAACCCTTGTCTTTCGAAGGAGATCGGAAACCCTTTCTTTCGAGGGAGAAAAGTTCCTCCCAAAAGGAGGAAGTATTATTATAAACCTAAAAAAACAATAAAGAAACAAGAATTGGGGCTTTCCACCGATTAAAATCGATGGAAGCCCCTTCAAAATTCAACAATGGAGGCTAGGGTTTTGAAGAGAGAAAGGATTGCAAAATTTAATTTTATGTGATTATAATATGGAATACTTTTTATTTATCTATTTTTTGTTTAATTTTTTTTGTTATATAATTTCTTTTTTTTTAATGTATAAATAAGAATAAAAATCATTAAGGTCATATCATTTCTCATGACAAATACATTATTTGACAATCTACATAATCAATTGTTAAAACTATTTAAGAAAGATCACCGACAACGACTTTGAACAAATAGTATATAAATATTTATCATCACTCGAATCTCCGAGTAATATAAATTTGTTAGATAAGTTAATTTTACTCTTAGAACTTGCACAATACATTAATTTATAAGATCAATTATACAATTTTGCATGATTGGATGCTAACTTCAAAACCTCGTTGCGTTTTCCGACCAATGATTCAATGAACATGTATTGTATAATAAACAAATCAAGCAAAATAGCACATGATGTTGCACCTATAAAAATATTAGTTTTGCTCCAATAATCTTTCCAATCAATTGTACCAATAACTTGGGAAGTATTACTTATTTATGTTAGTTTAACTAGTTTAATCTTTCACTCATCTACAAGGTGACATAGCTAGACGATTTGAGCACCATATATAATACACTAGACATGTACAAAAACACTTGTTTCTTTAAAAGTGTGCAACTCTGGTCTTATAATAGATACTTGGAAAAGAATGAAAACTACGAAGCATGCATGTAATTTGTTATAAGAAAGAGATAGACAAACGTTCATCTTTGTTTTCACACTTAATATTTCAAGTTTAAAGTTTAATAACATCTAATAAAATAATTTCACGGCTAATAAGGATGATGATAAATACAAAGCTATTAAGATCACGAAAAACAGCCTTGTATAAGATCGGGAAAAAATAGTTTTGTATTAAGATCAGGAAAAAATTGAGATATGTATAATAAGATCAGGATTATAGTTTAGTTAGTACTAAATGGACTAGCTCTAAATTTCTCAAGACAATATTTATCACACACGTCTTTTTTGAAAAAAAAAACTATTGGTCAATAATATAATTATCCCTTTCAATAATTCATAGGTTTTGTTACTTGGATAGCACCTTCATACAATCCTTGGTTTAGAATTCTTTGATTGACACTGATTAAAATTGACATGATTGAGCATGTCTTATTGATGACTTTTATATTGCTTTAATCAAAATTACAATTATCATTGAATTTATAGATCTCATAGGTTGGCTATGAATTTCAATCAAAAACACAAATCACAATGAAAAAAACATTTCTAAATTTTATGAAAAAGTTACTCCTTATTTTAATTTTATTTTATTATGTGTCACAAAAGGGTAATATTTCTTTTGTTGCTCATAATAAGAAACAGAAGTAACACACTAAGGGCCTGTTCTCATTGACTGAACTGAGCTGAACTGAACTGAGCTGAACTGAACTGAACTGAAATGAATATTTTATAAGAGAAGGTAATTAGGAGTTGAACTGAACAGAGCTGAACTGAACTGAATTTCAACGTAAGACAACATGCCCTAATTTTCTAATTATTATGGAAATAAAAATACAACCCAAATAGTTGGCACAATATATATGTTGGAAGTCTTGGCCTTAATTTGTGGGGGAATAGAATGAAAAAAAAAAAAAAAAAAGATTTGTCGACCCAAATTTTGGAGCAGTTCAATACTTCAATATATGTGTTGCAAAATAGACTTTTTCATGGGATATCTTTGATGACTTTGAAACTAGATTTAGATAAATTGTTTGACATGGTCGAGTTAAAGATTATTTGAAAGAATGATCACGTACAATATACGAATTAAAGAATATTTATAGAGTTTGTTTGAATTTTAATTTGAAATATTTCACACGCACTCGTAATATACTTTAGTGTCACTTTACTTTCAAATTCTGAATCAACCATATTATATAAACAAACAATATCCCTTGATAATATTAATAAATGGTAAAAAAGAGGCTTGTTTTGAATACCTTTAATAAATTTCAAATATTAATGTTGGACTTTTGGGGGTTTAAATGGATGTAAATTAGTACTGTAAGACTTAAGAGGCCTTAATATAATGACATTAATGGAGTTGGGTTGACTAAATCTATGAGAGGTGCCGGTTTAGTAAGGTCGTTCATCTTAATAATATATATATATATATAATGATATTTTGATTGGTGTGGGGTATTGATAATTTGATAGTGAAGTCGTTATCCAAACTGTGTTTATTTGAATGTGGAAAATAAAATTAGAAAATTGTTGGTTTCAGCATTTAATATTTAGTGGTGAGACTGGTGACCATTCTTCTCTTGTTACTAGAGTGTCATTGTTAGCAAGAACTACTTGTCTATGTTATGTCTTTCACCGGTCATCCAAACCCGTAAATTATGGCACAAACTAATCCTACTTTATCAATGTCATTTTCATTAATAACTTGCCTTAAGTAAGTGTGTTACACTTTAATTATTAGACTAGTGACATAAGTCACTCTCAAACAATATATCTCGACGTTCAAAATATGGTAAGATTCATTGGTCATGCTAAAATGTTATGCTTAGATCACTCACTAATCACTATTACATAACTTTGATTGCCTTTTACAAGTATGATTTATGACAAGAGGTAATTAGTTCATGAAAATCAATTTCTCCAAAGAAAAAAAAAAAAAAGTCCATCATGGAATTAACTAAGGCAAATGTTAAACATAGCCCAAACCATTAATACATGTCTAGATTCTCTTATATTTTCAATAAAAATAATAATCTATAGATTTAATATTTATTGGGAAGAATAAAAAACAACAACCCAATAAATAACACATACCCACACAAATATGTTTATTGGATATTGCATTGTGATAATCTTATTGCCCACAACCTGTTTGATGAATTGTCTTTTTTTTTTTTTTTTTTTTTTTCCTGTTAATGAAGTAGTGTGTATAGTGGTTTGATGAATTGTCTCTTTTTTTTTTTTTTTTTTTTTTTTTTAATGAAGTAAATTACGATCATGCTAGTTGTTTTAATACTTGTGATTCTACCCTAACCATATCGTCCATGTGTTTGTATACATTGAGCTAGAAGAAGAAGCTAATAGTATGAATAATGCACCGAGAGACGACATTGAGCTAGAAGATAATGTAGTGTATTTACCCCCTAAATCCAAAACGAAAGGGCGACCGAAAACGATACGTGAGAAGGGTGGAAAAGAATTGGGGAAGAAGACTAAATGTTGTTCCATATGCAAACAACCTGGTCACACTAAGCCCACTTGTCCTAACAAGGAAAATATTTTCGGCTTAAAGGAAACGGATGCATCAAGTATAAGAGCAAGGAAAGCAGTAGATGAATTAGGGATAAATCCTGTATTTACTTTGAAGTTTTAGTAATACTTCAGTTTTTATCTTTTTTTTTTTTTTTTTATTATTTTTTATGTTTTGAGGACCAATCTCTGTTGTTGATTCAAACTTTGTCAAACTTTTGTAAGCCTTAAAATAATCGTGTGCTTTTTTTATTTTTCCCTTTCTTAAAAAAAAATATATATTTTAATATGATTTACTGAATTGCTTAGTTGCAGTACAATGAATGTATTTTATTTCCTAAAACAATGTGCATAATAATAGTAAGTGGGTAGGAAATAATAATTTAAATACATTTAATGAGAATTGAATGATGGTCTAATTACCAATAATAAATTTGTCATAGATTCCATTGGAATAAGATATTTACCATTAATTGGAGGAATTTGCTAGTTTTTATGCATAGCCCTTAGGGCTATGTATAACAAAATCAATTAACTAATAATTAAGAAAATAAAAATAATTTTTCTAAATTGATCAATGCGTTAATACTCTCTGACTTTGACAAAACAGAATAATACAAAAGCATATTAATTATTTCTTGCTAGGTTATACTGTAATTAATTTCACTTTTTCTTTTTAGGGTCTGTTCTCATTGACTGAACTCAACTGAACTGAATTGAGCTGAGCTGAACTGAATATTTTATAAGAGAAGGAAATTATGAGCTGAACTGAACTGAACTGAATTTCAACGTATGAAAACAGGCCCTTAGTCCATTTTATTTGTCTTATATATTCCACTACAAACAAATTTGTTTTGTCACAAACCCTCACAATACAATAAAATAGTATTGTGAAAATGTGAAAGATATGAATCGAATCATATGAGTAACTTTTACGAAAATAACTTGCATACTTTGTAAAAACAGATTCTTTGTACGAAGTAATTTAAGTTTTATACCAAGAATAATCTATATATAATAGAATCTCAAATAATATTTTATTTTATGGGAAAGTTTTTTTTTTTTTTTTTTTTTTTTTTTGAAGATTTGACACTTATATTCCGTAGTAAAATAGTACTGTATTTTGTCATAAATGAAACTTTTGTAAAGACTCAACATGGGTTATAAAGAAACTACATATATTATTTAGATACATAAACTTAACGATTATTAATACAACTTATTACACAAACTTAATACTTGATACATTGATTTATAATGATACAAACTTACAATGTCTACAAATAGCAACGTAACACAACGATTTTCTTAATTTGTTTTTAAAAATACTAAATATAATGATTCTCGGAGCCTTGTAAAGTTATTATATTCATACATGGATAACCTTTTCTAATTTATCATCTAATCAAAATGATCATTTTGTGTAATACATGGGTTAACAAAACATCATACTAATTATCAATTATGTAAAGAAAGTATACGTCAAAGAATCAAAGGCATACGAAATAATGTAGAAGTAAAGGCAAATAAATAGAAGTCGTTGGTAGAAGCTTTAAAAAGAACAACACCTAACGTCTAGCAAGTTATAATAAATGAGGACCATCATCGCTAACATGGGTGACTATTTTATACAGCCACAATTATTCCACGCATGAATTCACATGAAAATTTCTAGGGAACCCGCCAAATTTTGCCATCTGCCCTTTGCTTTAATCACTCCAAAAATCTTGTTTCAAAAAAATAAAATAAAAAATAACTCCAAAAATCTCTATCAAACAAAACAAATAAAAATAGAATATTGAAGAGACCTTTTCATTTTCCTTTTTTAATACGATCATGTGAACATGGGACATCAAATAATGTCTATCCAATGCATTCATCAAATCTAGGACTGCTACGTTGCAAATTCTTTGGAGGGAAACTATTTTGTTTTCTTGTTTTGGAAGGCAAGAAGAATAAATTATTAGGAATCCATCTTTTATGGAAAGTATATAAATTAGAGTTATTACAAACATTAATAACTTAATATTATACAAAGTGTGAAGTTAAATAGCTATTATTATGAAGTTTAATTTTTTATTCGTATTTAATTATATACTAGTATTCCGTATATATTAATGACTTAATGTAGATAGTTTGGAACAAAGAGAATAGATAGATGGAAAAAAAGACTCCTTTGAGGAAAGCCGGAAGATGAGAAGAGGGGATGGATTTTATCCTAAGACCATAACAATGAGCGCCAAAAAAAAAAAAAAAAGAGTATTTCATTTATTCTTTTAATATTGAACCATATTGACTTTTACACTATTTACATGCTCTCCTTTAACTACAAGTTGCGATTTATAAGTAATTAATAATATAATCTATTATCATGTGAAATCTTGTTTAAATTGTCTTTGAATCAATTTTTTTTTAAATTATAATTTTTACGTATTACTCCCTCCGTTTTTAAATACTTGCTCCATTTCTCTTGGACACGCATGCCGATGTTAATTTTTGATCACTAATATCTTTAATTATCAATAAGTATAAATTCTAACAATTGAAAATTAGTAATCTATTTATTGAGATGATTCCAACAAATACCCACAAGACTATATTTTTTCTTATGTATAAATCACAAACATTAGTTAAAAGTATGACAAATGAATAGTGCAAAAAATAAAAATGGAGCAAGTATTTAAAAACGAAGGGAGTAAAAGTTAAACATATTATCGATCAAAGTTGTGGGATATTAGTGATTGTAGCAAAAAAGGCGTGGGATATTAGCGATTAAAGTTGTGGGTTGACATACATGAAAGTCAACATGATACAATTTTAAAAGAATGAAAGTACTAAGATTTTTCCACCTCCAACTTATATCAATATATATACTATGAGTCTGTTCACTTCAACTCCTAACTAGTTTTATCCCCGTGCAAATGCACGGATTTATAATAATAATTAAAAATTAAAATAAATTAATTAATTAATAAAATTCAATTAAAATGGAGTTAGTTTAAATGAAATGGCTTATATGCAACATTTTTTATTTTTGAATTTGAATTCATATCATGTCTATCCTTAAAATTCTCATGTTAGATACATTATTTAAAATATTTTATAAATTATTGTAAGTTTTTTTTCATTAATTTTTTTTATCATGATATTTTAATAAGGGAAAAAAAGAAATTTTAAAAAAAAAGCTAAAAAATATTTGGGCGGGAAAATTTTTGTTGTGAATGTGACATGTGTACTTAAGGGATAACGTGATTACTTTAGTATATAGTGTAGATTTTCTTATCTTATAAAATATTAATTTAAACTCAGTTCAATTCAACTCCAATCAGTTTAGTTCAGATCCTAATTTCCTTCTCTTATAAAACATTCATTTTAGCTCAATTCAATTCAGCTCCAATCAACTCAATGCAGTTTAGTTTAACTCCTAATTTCCTTATCTCATAAAATATTCATTTTAGCTCGGTAAATGTGAATAGGCCCTATCTCAAGTATTTCGTATCTAGAAGAGTAACAAGACTCCATTATTGATAAATACTTAAAGAGTATAGTTTTCACATCATTTAAATAGACATTGTATTTTAAAAATATGTTTTTAATTCAGGACCTATCTGTCATTTATGCATATACTGATATACTCTACTCGTACATTCTGCAATATTGAATAACGGCAATTTTTTACTCTTTATGTAGTACCTTTTGAATGTCACACAATCATTCAAAAATTGCAAAGTTATACATCAAGAGATTTCAGGCATACAATAACAAAATATATACTGAAATACGTAAAAAAAAATAAAAATATCCCCTTGCTTCTTTAAAACTGACTTAAAGAGAGATTACAATGCAAGTTACAAAAATGTTCCTCATCCTAGTATGTGGTGGTAATTACAGATTGTACAGACAGGGTACTCACAATGCTGAAAATTTTCTAGTGCCTAGTGATCAATACTGCTGTGAAAGAATTACAATCTACTGATTTAAACTACAAAAATCAATCAATAGTACAAAGATAAACACCCTTTGAATAGTTACGCTGGGATACAGTATGAGGAGCTTAGAGCAGGAGGGAAGACACAGACCAAATGCGGTGCAGGTGGATTACTACTTATATTTGCCTCGTCAATATCTGGCAACCCAAGATGAGGGGGGCGTACATACCCAGCCACTAAGGGTATGCACAAGATTGAGATGATAATTCTTGAGCCTGTATATATTACAAGCATATTAGTTCCTAATAAAAATGTCGAATCCAAATTATATCGAGTTCACTTAAGCATAGAGTTTGAACTTTTGACTGCCATTACCTTGCTTAGTAGAGAGAGAGATATGCCCACGCTTTCTGCCAGCAATCATCCAGTTTTCTGAATTCGCATCAACTTCGTATAATACTTCCTCCTGCTGAAGACAAGAATGATTACACTGCTTATTTAACAAACAGAACCTAAAATAACAAATTTGACAGCCTCTATTCACACAAATTTCAGTAACATGTGCGAAGAAAAGACAAGCCAACAATTACAGTTGCAGTATCAATTACCTAAGCTATTCATAGCCAGCTAAATTCGAGAAAATGAGCCTAGGCAAATCCAGAGAGGAGACTCAAGCAACTTAAAAGTCTAAGGGAGGTATTATTGCAATACCACTTGGCAATAACAGTTACTCCCTACACAAATACAGTGGTTATTTATCTCCTCTTCTTCACATGCGCTTCAACTCATTACTACATAAGGTCACAACACCCTTCCTTTGGACAAACTAATAAGGTTTATAGCTTTCATCATTTGGACATCCATTAGCAGCTAACATTCTCACTCAACAGCATGATTACGGGATTAGAATAAAACAAGCCACTAGCTTTGATAAACTCTACTACCCAAGCCAACTCTAGGAGTTTGATGTCCACTTGAGATTATCTAAATCACCCTTTATATTTGCGTACTCTTTTAAAAAGGTGGTTGTACATTTTTTTTTTGAAATTTATAGCATGCATTCTGTGCATATAAAATTATAAAGCTATTAATTAATCAATCAAAGCCTTGAAATTATAAAGCTATTAAGAGGTAAGAAAATGGGCCAGGGTTGCCCCTAGAAAAGGAGGGTTGTGAAACTTGCAATACAAACCCCCCCCCCCCTCCCCCCCGAAAAAAGTAATAAGTAAAAATTAAAAAAGATGGAGTAACTTCCTGGACTTCAAAAGATGATTAGATCTATCTCATTTTCTCTAATGTGAAAACTGTATATAAGTATAAATGTCCCTTCAATCACCTAGGTAAAACTAGTAAAGATCTAGACTAACAAGGTTGCTAAGTAAGTGAAACAGAGGGGAAAGCTTTGTGTGGAAAAACTTCCCAGTAGTTTAGTTAGAGAAAGCTAAAAACTAAATATCAGCAGATCAAGACACCAATCACACAGGAATAGGCGTATGTTTTATCACAAAAGGGACAATACTTTTTATCACAAAAAAAAAATAAAAAAAAATAAAAATTAGAAAAGTGACTATCAATCCATCCATACTTCATGTGGTGATGTGGGCACTACTGGCACAGAGCTAGAGAATACAATTGAGTGCTATAAACTAGTTTGAACTAGAGAAAATAAGTCACAAAAGCATGCATGGTGACAGTGGGGAAGCAGACACTAGAATAGTGCTGACATAAAAAGTTGATGGCAGGTGCAGTTGGCTCTCATAGAGAAACTTTCCAAAATATGGAAAACGTGATGTATTATCCAGGGAAATATGGAAAAAGTGATGTATTATCCTGAATTGTATACTACTACTATGTTATGTAAGATACAACATTACCAACAAAGCACTTAATGACTCACATTGCTTTTAGGAACCATGTCTTCTGCATCCTTTAACCTCTCAATCCTCCAATTCACAGTAACAAGCTGGCCAACCCTAAGGCTATCTGATGGAAATGGGAGAAAGCCAACTGCCAGGCATGGGTCCAACACAGGTCTTTGTAAAACAAGAGCACTTTTAAAGATCAAATCCTGTCCTACACTGTCAGTTGCGGAAGACTTGATTATGACAGGCATGTGTGCTCCCATGGTTCTATCTCCATTAATTTTATAACTAATATTTAATATACTTTCTGCACCGGATGCCCCAGTATCACCTGCAGCAAGAGAAAATAACAAACAATTTACCGAAGAATTAGATGAAGCACATGAAATATTAAGAAAGCAGTCAACTGTATATCGATGGTTAAAAAGTAATCCAATTAAGTGATTAACTGTGTTTGCAAATGCTGTTCTTCAATGCAAGCAGAAAAGGCCAGGTGGGGACTGCCCAATGCCCATTTTTGAAGCATATTTCCAATTGCAGACATAAGTTTTTATAATGAACAAAAAAGAGATGTGATAGGGAAAAAAAAACACCAAGAACGAGGGCTAAGAACAAAAAATACGTGCCCCAAAGCTATCATGAAACAGTTTATCTACAAACACAAGTATCACTTAGAACCAAATAAAAGACTCTAGTTATACAGAAACATAATTTATTTATTTTTTAAACTTGTAACCTAAACGAGAGGAAGCTACAACCTCTATTGGTTTATTCCTTTCCATAAGCACTGCCAAATGGCCAATGGAACCATCTTCAACACTTCAACAAGCCTACCTTTCTCATCCCTTATTTCTCCAAGCCATAAGAACATTCTTCTCAAAATAAGGCTGGACCTAGCTTAATGATTAGTGCCAAAGAAAAGAACTCAAGGATAGAAGAGTAAAAGATGATTAAAAAAATCTTCCTCCTTAGGACACAAACTACAATGGAATGAAAGAAATCCCTTGATTCCCTTCCCTAAATTAAAACTTTGATTATCCCGATATTCTCCAATCAATCAATCAAAGCCTTAAACACATAAGTGGGGTCGGCTACATGAACCAAAAGTGATTATTCTGTGTAGTCATCAACTCTCAGCATATGTAGGCACAAATTATTAGTTTTAACTCTTTCATCCACTCTCCTCAGTTTGAGAAAAGTAAAAGGTGGATGTCAAACAGTCTGTTAGTCACTTTGTGTATCTGTTTGTGAAAACCTGTATGCTAGCTTTTTCCCTTTGATAGACACGTATACCCAAAGATTAGCCTTTTTTAACCACTTCCACCTACTCCTTGAAAAGGATAAATCAAAACATCCTAACAAGTGGACAAAAGCACCAATTGAAGAGTTTGAACTCAAGCAGTCAAGCCCTTGATATAGATTGTGTAGTATAGCCAAGTAACAAGTCATGCATTACCATCAATATCAAGCATAAAAATTCTCATAATACCTTCGACATTCACGGAACCAAAGCATATGCTGAACAACATGCTAGCTTTTGAAGAAGGAGAAACAGTGAGAGGAAAGAAAGCTGAAGCTGGTCGCCCATTATTCTGACAGTTGTGGACGAATCCATCTTGAAGATCCAGCCAAGCATCATGAACACTCAAAGTAGCCTTAACTTGTGAGTGCAGAGTAACCTGAATAGATACAGAAGCAGTGTAAAATATTTATCTATTTGTCAACTACATGCATAATTTAATCAAAGCTTAATTAAAAAAACAAAATGTGCTACTGAAGTGGAATATGAATGTCTTCCATTGCCTGGAAATTTTTTCTCCGTCAAGTCAAACTTAACAACAATAACCTAAAAAAGAGCTCAATATCATTGGCCCTTGAATGCAAGTCGAATAGTCTTCTTATGGATAAGTTGGAAGGATAAAAAAAGAAGAGTTGATCTATATCTTGAAAATTAAGTATAATAGATACTCCTCCCTCCCTTCAAAAATATAAGACACCAAACTTTCCACAGCTCAAATTTTGACCATTATTTTTGCTGAAATTGTATGATACAATAATATCTATTTTATAATAAAAGTAATTTTTTTTATTCAAAGCTACCGTCAATCAGTGTTTCATTAGGCAATGATACTAATGTAGCACTATTATCATTAATTTCACTATCTTTTTAAGCAAAATATACTCAAGAGAATTAGATAAAACAGCCCACCCCTCCCTACCAAACCTTCCATGTTACAAAGCACTATCCTTGCTTGGCAAAAGCATTCTACTAAGAACAAAGTCAACAGTCAACAAGAAAGGAGATGTAAAGGTACCTTGAGTAAGGCCCTGCAATGCCCCAAACCAAACAAACCAACTTCTAAGCATACCATAAATAAACACGTAGAAAATACTCAATAATCCCTGTGATAATAGACCAATCTTCAGAGGAACAAAAGAGACGAAGTTAAATTCAAACTCTTTCTAACTATCAATCTCAAAGAAGCCCTTAAACAATCTCAGATGATCTTTTAAAGAAATCCAAAACTTATTAATTATACCCATACCAAACACTACTTTCTTAATCTGTTCCCTAAAAGGGTGCTCTAAACACTTACTATCAGCATGAGATACATGACTCCACATCAAAGCTAAAATTATTGGATGATCTTCTGATAGATATTCAGAATTTTAAAGAGCAATAGCCTGGTGGATCCTCACAGACTATAGCTTTTGACCCTTCTCACTAGTACATATAAATACAACTTTTAATATTCACCACCTTAAAAACCAAATTCCACTCTTCAGCCTTCATTTTCTCAAACAATATCACCTACTCCTTTTCCAACCACATCCATACCTCCAAAACCTTCCACTATGCATTCCTCCACAGCTTCTCCTCCACGAGACCATCAACACTATCCTGCATATCTGATGTTTCCATCTAATCAAGAATCCCTCCATCACAACATCACCAAAAATAAAAAATTGCACATTCCAACTTTTCAACATCTTATACATAGCACAAGTCACTCATTAACACAAAAGCATAGAGGAATAGTCACAGTTTCAATTGACTAATTATGAAAGTTCACTTCATTATTCTGATACCTGAGTTTAAACACTATCATCAAAGAATTAAAAACCGAAAGTACCAAAGTTAGGCATCCACCATGCACTACAACACTCCTTTCCTTACTCTCAGGTACACCAGGGCAGCTCATCTTTGTAATTTTTTGTTGTGTTATAATGTGACAAATCGCTCGTCAATTCTGAGTGAAACATCATATTTACTCTTTTAGAAATATAGAAAATAATATTGGTCAACATTGAGTCATTGACAATATTTAAAGTAAAAATTTAAATGTCGGAACAAAATAGAAAATTTACTTTAGCACAAATAACAACAATATGGCAATACATTCATATACATTTATTTGTAGCTTGTCATTAGAATGATTGAAAGTACCCCATTGCTAATGTAGCATCAAAACTATTCGAAACCACTTAACTACATAAACAATATGCACTTTTCAGCAACAACATTTTCAACAATTCATGAATAAGATTAGCGATTTGTCTAGAGATAGATTAATATCAACAGTAAATACCTGGAGAAGCAGAGTACCATCATTGCATTTGTCAATGACACGTGTGCTCACATGAAAGGGATCAGTAAAATGGACAGCCAGAGTCCTACATAAAACAATTTTGTTAAGTATTGTATCACAAAAAGATGCAACAACACCTACAACAGTACCTATCAAACGTTTGGTTGTGGGACATTCCGAATTCAAGTTTAAGAGCCATTGTCCTCATCATATCCACAATGCTCAGCCTCTGCGATGCCGCTGAACAATTAATTAAGAAGGAAAGTTAAATATAGCAGAAATAAGAAAAAAAAGTATTCAACAGTACTTCAATTTTCTGGCTCCGCATTAAACATGCAGGGTTTATTCCCTCAGTCTCATTTTACTTCCCCATTTGGCCCAAAAGTTCCACAAAAATTGGTCAAATGGAGCAAGTAAATTACGGTAGAAGGAGTAGTTAACATCATACCTCTGGTAATTCCATCACTTACAGCACGAACTGGAATCCACAAGACAGAAGTTAGATCACTTGCCCAGTCAGGCAACTGAATCTTGCCATCCTGCAGGTTTAATTGTGTAACATCTTTGACAAGAGAGGATGGAGAATTTTGTTCCCCAGAGTATCCCATGTCAGGTATACTTTTATGAGCAGTTGTGTATCTATCCATTTCAATAACATGAGATTCTTCAACTTCTAAACCTGGGCCAGTGTCAATGTGCAAGACACCCCCTTTAAGGGGGTAATCTATTGGTCTTACTATTATTCCAACCCACTGTACTTCATTTATCAGCAGAGGTGATGAAACAGCAGGAGTAAGATCAACCAGAGCTCTGGGTTTGAATACCTACATGATAAAAGAACTCGTCAGAATGCTCAAATATATTCATGATCAGAGCTGAGTCAATGGTCAGCATAAGTTAGGAGCATGAAGCAGAATTATCTTGAGACCCATATCAACTGAGGTGTATACCTTTAAGATAGGTCTAGTTGGCTTTTCATAACTCATGAAATCATCACTATCTGCAGGAGCACCTTTGGAGAAACTATGAGATCTAAATCTCAAGTGTCCAATCTGACCAGTAAGGACTCCTAAGACATATGAACCTGGTTTTTGTGGCGGCAGGGTAAGTGTAATAGTGTTCCTTCCAGGCTTCAATATTGTCTCGGAAGAGATACTTGTAGCCTGAAAATTCATAAAACTAACAAGTGAATCCTTCACTATATAAATTCACTTAGTGCTACAAGAAGAGTTGACCAAGCCTACCTTAGCACCTTCATCAGCATTGTGAGTTTCCATCAGAGTAAGATTTAGTGATTCTAGGGTAATGTCATCTGGAAAGCCACTCCACACAGTCACCGACAAAGTACCAGGATCACCATCACATAGCTGCAATGGTCTCCCAGCATTCCCAGAAAACGTAATTAAAGATGACACATCAAGTGGAACTGGGTGCTTCATTTCACTATGTGCAAGGCCAATGACTTCTGCCTGAAATGCTTGTCTTTCTTTGGTTGAGAAGAGGCTTTTATCCAGAGACAATAGCCTTATACAAGATTGCAAATAACCAGCTTCATCCTTGAGAATCTTTTGACACTCGGCCAAGTTTGGAAGCACTTCAGCCAAAAGATCTTGCCAACCTTCACCGGCATAAAGAGCACAAACCTTCTCATATGAATTTGCGGCTAGGTCATACTTTCCATGTTTATGACACACAGCAGCAATTTCACCATCAAGGACAACTCCATGTCTTCTCCACCAGGAAAGATGGTAATTTTCGGCAGCTCCCTTTGTTAGTTCCAAGTACTTTTGCTGCCATGAATGAAAAATGGATGAATTTGTACTCAGTATATAGAGAAATACTCAAATTGGCAGTCTCAACTCTTTAGGGTTTCTATTAAGCCAAAACTAGAGTCCTTTTTAAAAATTAAATGCAGATTCTCACGAACTAATCTTACCGATTTTCATGAAATGTGTATTAAATACTAAAGTAATCAATTATTATAAGTTATATGTGTTAAAGTTGACCTTTCTCTCAATGTCCGTAATTAAAGTTTCTTGGGGCCTTGGGAGTCACCTGGAATGGGAGATGGGTGGGAAAGTTTTAAGGAACAGCAATTCTGATTTTTTTTTTTTTGTCAATTTGAATTGAGGCTATAAGTTAATGGAGTAATAATGTACTCCTCAAAAGGGAGGGTAATAATTACCCACTAGCTCTAAGGCCCCTCCCTCCCTTTCTCCATTATCTCTTCTCTATCATCACCCTTTTCTCTAATTTGTCAGTCCCAAGGCGAAGCCACACATTATTTCTTGGAGGGAAGGGGGCAACAATAGGAAATCTCCATGTACCCAAATCATAAATAAATGCTGACAAAAATAAAAAATCATTTTCAAAAAAAGTTACTAAGATTTGAACCATGACTTATAGTCATCAATAACCACTTGTTCATACAGACGATTCGACAACCATCATGCCAAGAGTTATGCCAAATGTAAAATTTTAGAAAGGAGAGGTCAAGGCCCTCTTCTTCTCCTGTTTGTCACACTATATTCTTCCCCACTAATGCTGCTATAAATCTACCTAGATTATTATGAGAACTGAGAGATTAAGGGCAAAAAAGAGTTTGCAACACAGGATTGATACCACCAAAAAAAAAAAGAGTACATATTTAAAGTCATGACATGTCCTCGACGTATATCTTCTCTCCACTCCGCTCTATCAAATGCCATATTTTCCTCAATCTCCAAAAGACTCATATCACTCTCAATCACCCTCCAAGTTTTCTTAGGTCTTCCCCTAACCCTTACTGCCCCTATCAATTTGTCACTCTTCAAGCCTCCTTACTGTCAAAGTGTCAATCAATCTTCAACTTAAATGGTCAAACCACCTTAAGCGATTCTCCCTCATCTAGTTCTCAAGTATCTCAACAGATGTAACCCCTACTTTCGTCCTAATCACTTCATTACCCAATCGATCCTTTCTTGTAATGTATAGCCAGTTAGCCACAGATCAAACCCACTATATGCATCTTCACCACATTCATTTTATGACTTTGACAATGCTTCATAACCTAACATTCCTTACCATATAATAATGCTAGCCTAATTGTCTTGGCAGTAGAATTTTCCCTTTAATATGGGGCAGGATCACATAAAAACATTGTAGCACTCTTCCACTTCAACCAACCAGCTTTGTTTCTATGAGCATCATTTCTATTCAATTTCCCATGCTTTTGAATAATGGATCCTAAAATCAGAAGATATTAGAACCCTACACAAATATCCCATACAAGGTGACCGATCCTACCAAGTACCAATCTATTTCTAATTTCGCAAAACTTACATTTCAAATTTCTGTCTAACAGCAGCACATTAAGCCTACTTTCATTCTTGTACTTTTTTACCTTTTTCTTACATCGATTCACCACATCAACACTCTCTTCAATTGTCTTAATTTATGGGCAAATAATAATCATAAAGGACTTTTTGGAACGAAGGTAGTATGTAGCAAACACAGCAAGAAAAATCAACAACTCCAATGCCAAATTAATGTTTTTCATGATTATTAAGCCTTTTCAAACAAGCCATCCACACACAAAGGCCCTTTTACTTTCCCAAAACCTAAGATCTCCAAATAAAAATATCAAAAATTGAAGGAGAGGAATAAGATTACTCTAGAGGATTCATGATTTAAATAATTATAAAATACAGCTAAAAAACTTGGAAATGTATACAATTCAACAATTCCCATACCCCTAGGCCCTACCTATTCCAACCCATAATATTGGGTATCCATTTTAAAGCAAATTTTAAAAGCCACATAATTCCCATTAATCATAAACATACTAGGGTTCTTATATGGAGGGGGGGGGGACTAGGGTTCTTTTCCAAATGCCAAAATTTCCAAAATGGACCAAGAATTGTCCTAAGCAGGAACAAAGCCAATATTTGGGACAAAAGGGCATCTGTAATAGTGATTCCTTCTCTGAAAATCATTCATTGCCACGGGTAATTAGGTCAAAGAGGAAATCACCAATATTTTTCCCACCAAGAATATGATTCTGGCCAACAGTGGCAATAAATCCCTGAAACCAAAGGCCCCCTACTTTTCAAGTCCATGGACTAAAAAATTCTTCGGAGTAGGATGTACTCTATTCTTTTCATGCAAACAAGAAAAAGAAAAGTCCCTCATAATTTTCTCCAACTTTTAGCAAGACCCCAAGAAATCCTATAGAGAGTTTCATGTTTTTTTTCTCTTCTTTTTATATTTAATTTAATCTCATTACAGCAGCACATGTCCCAGTTGTCGGGGCAAATGATGAATCCCTAGAAAGACCCGGGTCAGAGCTCACCTAAGGAGGGGGAAGAGGGTGGGTGGGCCATACTAAATTGTGTCAACGGAGGAAACAAGTATATAATCTCGCTGTCCTATAATTTTTAATTTTGGTCAAACCCTATTTTTTATAAACCCCAAAATGTTTGTGCATTTCTAATATTAATGTCAATTTTTTAATTAATGAGATCGCGTTGAATAAATTTTTAGTAGAGAAAAATGAGAGAACTCATAGATTAATAAGGGTAAAATTGGAAACTCATAAACGTCAGCAATATCTAATTGAAGTCTTGCTCAAATAGTTGGATTTTCTATACAAAGGATGGGGCAGATGATAATAGAAAGTGATTCAGTTCATAACACTACAAGATAGGATATTTTGCTATCTTCAATAATAAAACAGAACTAAACCAATAACAGTTGCAATGACGTGAAGTATGTAATATGATACCTCAAAATCCTCAATAGATGATAGAGATTTCCATAGATCGGGATCAGAGATTGTTTTTCGCAAGGCATGTTCAGCAGCAACATGGATTTCTGCCAACCTCATAGGTCTATCAATAGAGCCTTCAAAGTTTCCTGGAGTCAAATAATTACGTGACATGGATGGTGCAGGTGTTTTGCTAGGAGGGCTTGCACCTCCTGAAACATCTAAGCTGTAGATATGCGTAAGGTTTTACTTAGAGAAACAAGAAAAATAAAAAAGACTTCAGCAGATAGATAAGAACGTTAACTAAAGCTATACATATAGTTCAATAAGGTAACAAGTAAGGTAGACAAAATTTAACTGCACTCATTTACCCACCCTTCATTCAAATTAAGCTGTGTGCCAAACATTTCAAACATATTTCCAGCAGATAGAGAAGCCCTCCTTCTATTAGCTTCACGGAGAAGAACACAGGGCTCAATAGGCAATTGCTTCCTTTGAATACCAAAATGCTTCACTTTTTGACCTGATTGAAGAATCATCTGAACACACCAAAAAATAAGTCAAATATTCTTTTCAATTCTATCTCAACAAATAACAAAGAAGACCTTCAAGAAAGTATTTTCTTTCAGAATAGACCAAAAAAATTCACTAAAAATGATTCAGACAAATAGAAATTATAAGCATAACAAAAAGAACATTAACAACATTTTTTTTAAAAAAAATAAGGAAAAAAGAAACAGCAACTACAAATAAACAGGCAAATGCTATATAGAGCCATTCATTGTTTCCCTGGAAACAATAATGACATCACGCGAACATGGATACCCAGCCAACCTGGAAAGAACTCCAGTAAGCTCAGCCATTTCCTGAATCTGCTGTCTAAGGATTACCTTGACTTGTTTCTAATCTTATAAGTTGGCCATTTGCATTTTAGTTTTATTGTACTTTGTTCAGTTACTCTGGACGTCGTAAATTGTTATTGTATAGCCCTGTCGTTATGACATTATCTTACAATAGTTCAACTTATTGAAATTAAAATAATTTTCCTCAAAAAAAAAAAAGTGGTCACGTTTTAGATTTACTTGCTTTTTAAGATTTAAACCTTGAATGCATAATATTAGTCTTCTTTCTATCTACCCCTACATTATTAATAGTTTATTTTTTATTTTATCATCAGCAAAAAGCAATTTTAATTTCCAAAAAGTTGGAAGAAGTGCTTCACTTCATCCAATATGTAATAATTAACCCATTCTTTAGAACTCAAAAGGAGTAGACCATGGGATTGCAGAAGCTCTTCACACAAATAAAATAGGCACTAATAAACCCCTGAGCAATTATAAGTCATAAAATAATAACTGACCGTCAATAGTAGCAACAGAAATATTACCTTTTCTTTCTCTAGAACTTCTGAAGCAGCATCAGGTGGAACCAAAGGCCAAACTGCTGGTTTGGGCCATGGCAGCATGCTGAGGGAAGCACTATTTGGTGGCAACCAAAATAAGTTAAGCAGCAGAAGACAGTTCGAAGGCACTATGCCACCCAGAAATAATTCAAAGTATCTTTTAAAAACCTAGCAATTTACCTATTTGCAGGACTTCTCTCAATATCTGTCCCATATCCTACTAAGTACGCAAGCCTCATAAACTGCCACAATAATTTACCCATGTCAGATAGAGAAGAAATTTCTGTTGGAAAGGGAAAAACTGGTAAGGAGGAATAGATCCACAGACAGACATACATACAGCCACAGGCATATAATTATGCATTTGAATAAGCAAATGAAAAAAAAAAAAAAAATCCAACATACTTTGCAATTTTACATAGGTGATGTGATTTGATAACTCCCTTATCTATTAAACAGTAACTCTTTTATGAAAATAGAGTTTAATCCTCAACCAAATATACTAAGATCATCAGATGATACAACCCCAACAATTTTCCTGATAGAGTAACCATACCCATAAGACTTTAGAATGTCTACCTTGACCCGGCACAATGAAAAGAGATCACCCTGAAGTCGGTAGAACTCCTTTTCTACATCAGGGGCTACTAGTCCATCTTTGTAGTTTGCAGCAGTGGCATTGAGCAAAGCCAAGCAAGCAGTTATTACCCACACCTCACGCAAACAGAATGGCAACATGCTCTGGAAGAAAATAAAAGGTTCAGTAATGAATTGAGAATATTAAGACTTGCTTGAAAGCTTAACAATAAACTAGATGAAACTTTGTACCTCATAGAGTGCCAGTGCCTTAGAGAAGCTTATGATGAATGAATAGCCCCTAGATGCTACCTCGAAAGGACGACTTAACTTGAAGAGAAGCTGCAAAAGTCAGCATAAATCTCTGCATAAGCTATCAATATTGCTTGACAATGACAAAAAGAAAATAAGTAAAAGCCAAAGAATGAATGGTCTTGTGTTAAACAATTTCAAGGATGTGAATTTAAACAGAATCAAAATATATATGGATGATGCCACTCAGCATAGTAGTTGCATGGTATCATAAACACTATCCAGTCACATTCTATAACAGAATGAGAGAATCACGAGTAAGCCCAAAGCATACGCTCAAAAGACAACAATTATACAGTACTACCACGCAAAGAAGCCCAACACCAATTTCTAAATATTCTTTCAATCCCCTCAAGCCATGATACACAAGTCCACAACGCGTTAATTTAAGAGTACCCACAAATAGCCTACCTCTCCTTATTGGCAAACCAGAAAATTTTAAGACCGATACAGCTTTAATTTTCTGATTAAGTTTCAAAACAGCTTGTCCTCTAATGTACACTAATCTACGCTGAAATATATTATCTGTTTCTTAAAATAATGCAGCTTGCAGGCATGTAGAAAGAATTACAAAAAACACCCCAATGGGTTAATATGCCAAACTCTGGTAGTCGGGCGTCCAAGAGACTAAGCAGCGGCAACAAATCCAGAAACTCAAATTTGTGAGCTCACACCTCTTGAATTCTCAATCCTCGGAGGATTTATATTGAATTAACTAAAGAGAATACGTGGTTTTCACAAAAATTGAATAGTTGTCTCATACCAAGGAATCAAATGGGCAACTCTAAGAGAAGCATTAGTTGCTGTCATCTAAATATTTATAAAAGTTGTATTTCACTGCGTCAACAGATACTCTATGATTCACAAACACTATATGGGGGAAAAACAAGTGCATGACATTAACTTATTATAGAGGGAGATAATGTTTCCATATGGGTCATGTTTGTGTTTCGTCTCTTGTTCGTTTCTTGTTCACCAAAAAAAATTCAGAAGCTAATAACTGTGTAATATGACAAAAATGTCAAAATGGGCTGTGTTCATCTTGAGTCAACTTCAGTAAATTTTATATTTATGTCAGTCTTGGATGTGTTGGTATCATGTCAGAGAATGCTACTTCGACTTTCAATGCTTCTTATGGTGTTTTTATGTCATTTATCTTACATTATCTATAAGGCTAAAAACATAAAGGTGCTCATTCTCATGTAAAATTATAAATAACGTTTGTGCTCTATATGAAGTACACACATTACATGCATGAGTTACATCAAGTCTAAGGAATAAATCCAGCTTACTGAGATACTAAAAACTTATCAATTCACCCAAAACACACTTTATAAACAGGAAAAATAAAAGCTCTTGACCCACTTTTTAACATCACTCTCCAACTCTTTGAATTCTATGCATCATAACAGAGCCCCCAACCCTCTCCTTGTGGAGTGAGGAAATGAAATGATACAATGAACGCAAAACTTAAGGGATACGCATTGTGTAAGGGTAAGAAGAGCCTCAATAAATAACAAGTGATAAAAGGCTGATTGAGTATGTATTTATGTATTACTACTAATTGTATTGCTTATATCTTTTACAAAATGACTGGATAGAGAGAAATGGAAGGAAAGGAAGAGAAGAGAAAGTGAGGGAATTGTCATCCCTTATTTGGATAGCATATGGAGAAGGGCAGGGGGAGGGGATTTGAAGGTTCCATTTTTCTTCTCCTTAGATAAATCAAATTCTTCCAATATATGAAAGATTTGGAAAGAAAATAGAAGATCACTCTCTTCCTTTCCTTCCCCGTATTTATACTCTTCTCCCCTCGCTTTCCCTTATAATTGCCATTCAATTATTCAAACATAGTGTTTAACGCCTAGGATTCTTAGCTGATAAATTAACCCCCACCCTCCACCCCCTCTATTTTTGATAGGTAATAAGTTACAATATAATACATTCCTGAAGATTTTTAGGCATCAATACATATTCATAACACAGAAAGGGGCAAAATGCTTTCTTTCTCAGAGCAGATTTACCAAATTTTATGCAGTAGGGCTTCTAGGAGCAGCAGAACAAAAATTTTAAAAAAAATGGTCCTATTCGATTCAATGGAAAGAGGATAGAAAAGGATGCAGAAATGACAACATCCAGCAATATCAATCATTTTATGACCAGAACCTGGACAATCTCAGCCACAATCAGAATAGCTTCAAGACATTTGGCTTAAATGAAGTCCATCACTAAAGGTCTAGATGGCAGCATTAAGCCATCAACTTAGATAACAAACAAAAACAACAAAAATTCAATATATATGCTGCATTGTCATATGCAGCTTTGTTCGGTGAAATCAGGACAGCCTAGCACTAAGCAAAGGGTTCCAAAAACAAAGATATTATGTTACATGGATTATCCAGCCAGGGTATGTGTGACCTAAATATCAGGCCTAGGAAAAATTTTGCCTTTTTTTTTCCTGAATTCAAGTTTCCAAGTATCAAACTCATCTTTCAACAAGGAAATTTTGCTCTATAACAGTGTCCATCTCATACAACTAACAAAATGAATAAATCGCTTTCATACCTTTGCTTGACATGCAAACAGATACTGACGGAATTCAAACTCTCTGAAAGAATCATCCTGTACTATTTGTGCCAGTGGTTTGATTCCAGGATTTAGCAGTGCAGCTCGATCATCACCTTGGTCCATTCCACCAAACTCCTTTCTCTTTCCACTCACATTTACTGCATAAAACTTAGTGTTAGCATAGTATTTTTTTTGTTAAATATGTAGAGCATTATTCCCTAGAATGGGGAAATAGTTGTGTCAACAAACACAAAACTGCATACAGGCAGGAAAACTTTAGCAAATACAGTAGTAATACGAATTTGATCAACAGAGAAAAAAAAACTCTTAACATTGAAGCAGTAAGGTTCTTCATTCTATTATCCAATTCATACAAAATTGCCCTTCCCCATGCAGAGCTTCCCAAGAAAAGTGAAACAATACGCTAAAAAAACTCAAATTTGATAATAAACAAGATTCCTGAAACTTTTCAAAGTCATGAAGCTCGACAATTCAAAGTTCATATAACTATAGCCAAACCTAAGTGAAACGATACACTAAAAAACGCAAATTTGATAATAAACAAGATTCCTGAAACTTTTCAAAGTCATGAAGCTCGACAACTCAAAGTTTATATAACTGTAGCCAAACCTAAGTGAAATGATACACTAAAAAACTCAAAATTTGATAATAAACAAGATTCCTGAAACTTTTCAAAGTCATGAAGTTCGACAATTTAAAGTTTATATAACTATAGCCTAACCAAAACCTAAAGTTTATTTCAAGCTACAAAAAAAACATTATAGTTCTCACTTCTCGAAAGCTAAAAGAATTCTAATTTGCAGATGAAGCCAATTACATAAAGTAAGCAATGAACACATTACCTGTTTCCAAATAACAAAGTTCAAGCTCATCATACTCGCGTAATGAATCTTCATGAAGATGAGCCATCTCAAACATAAAAGCCAAGCTTTCCTAAAGCAAATTTTCAGGCCAAAAGGAGAACAAGTAATAAAGTTATGGATACCAAATTTATTAGATGAAACAAGATTATAAATATCATAATAGTACTTCCGACATCCAACCAAAGAGCCAAAGACAACAGAAAAAAGGTTATAAAGCCAATTCTAATTCAATGTAGTGACTCCACAACAAAAGGCAAACCATAGGCATTAGATAATTAAAAATTCAGGATATACAGTGTCTAGGAAAAAAAAAACACTAATAATGAGGGGTCACCATGAAGATGTAGACTAACAATAAGCAAAAATTATAAGGCACATCTAGCTGAAGCATCTATCAACAGCTGCTATTATGATTAAGACAGAAATTCAAAACCTTTAGTATAAAGAAGTTACAAAAGTTCCAGATTGGCATAAATCGTTGCTCGCTCAGCTTCCGAATCTCTTCCTCGTAAAACTGAACTCGCCTATCCAATGTATTACGAATACACTCCATGATCTTAGACTCAAAGTCCTCCCAAAAATTTGCTTCTGGTCCATGTAAGTCTAGTTTGCAACACCTGAGAGAGAGAAATTCCCAGCTTTAAGCAAAATGCAGCAAAATTTCCAAGAGAGTTCATTTTGGTGTGAAGTGTTCCACTCAACTTATGCCACATTTCTTCTTTTGTAGGGTTGAATCCAACACATTTTAGGCCATTTTATAATCCACACTTGAAGGAGAAAAGGCATGGATAATGAGAATGGAACCAATCAAAAACACTAGGAAATGTTATATTGAATTCGCAGGACACAATCAAACACCACCAGAAACCTAACAGAAATCTTGTATACTCCTTCCTCTGGCTTTTAGACAACATGAACAGCCAAAAAGGTCCCAATTACCTAGCTTACCTGATATTTGACAGTAGACAGTTAAGCACAAACACGCCTAGCTAAAAGTGAGGAGGTCCCCGTTCTTAGAAGGCAACATGACATGACGGTTTAGATATACCACTGCCTAGATCATTGTCAGATATCTAAGGCTGTAATAAAAATCACAGAAATAAAGAATGTATGCACAAACACAAGTATAGATATCCTAATCAAAACCAACTGATCTTCCAAAACATCAGTTGGTTCATATTCATTGGTGACAGGAATGAAAATGATTATATGATTAATACTCACACCACCCAATGTTAAGTATTACACATTAATAAAAACCCTATGTATCAAGAGATACACCAAGAGTTATAAAATAAAAACACCCTTTGTTCTTTTTGTTGGTTAAAATTATTGTAGCAACATAAACCAAAGAGGGTGGGAGAATGAGTAGCAAGTGGGGCATGTAAAAGTAAAACTAGGAGAGAGTGTTTAAAGTGATTTTATGTTTTAAATTAGAATAGAGAGTGTTGTAAGCTTGTAACTTGTAAGCGGCTTTTGTGTAAGAAAAATTAGGAAAGAAACTGTTGCATGTGCGTAAGATGGAAATTATAGTTTGCCATAAATGGATTAAAGAGGATGTAACGAACTGAAGTAGAAAGCGTAACCAGTAGTAAAAAACGGAGGGAGTAGTAAGCAAAAAAATATTATAGGACGGTAGTAACATCATGCCACAAGTCGATGCGACCCTCTTCCAATTTAAATTGCAGTTTACTATTGTTGGAAAAGAGTAGTTTAAACTTTGGAAGTTACACTCAAATAATAATTCAGCATATTATGTGTTGAAGCTATCACATAAAGGTTGTTCATGCTATAAATTTGAGCAGATTCAGACAGATACAACAACAGCTGCTATAAATACTCATGATTAAAGGTTATCAAAGTCTGCCAATAATCCAAAAATGATCTCAGAACACAAATATATCCAAAACACAAGTAATGTGATTCTATACATCCACTCAATACAAGTATTATTGAATTTTTTTTTACTGTAATTGTTAGTTGATCAGTATACTAGACCAAACAAGCTCATTTAATGTGGTGTAAAACTGCACCTTAAGTCAATTCTGTAGGTCACACAAGCTCTAGGAATGACATAAGTATACTATGCAGAATCATAATGCAGGAACCACATGCTCCTTGTTGCACTAAAAGTACCTTTCTCTCTTTTTTGAGCTGAATTCCACTTCCACCTTGGCATATACCCTTTTCGCCATCTTGGTAGCTTGATCATTGGTGGGATGAGCTCTATTCACAAACACAATGAACCACTCCTTCTCATCATTTTGTGTTAACAATTTCACTCTAGGTTTGAGGATGGATTTAAACTCATCAAGGTCCTGCAGCATATATGTCAAGGGATAGAAGCAAGTAAACACAAAGCAAAGGAAAATTGCAACCAAATAATGACAGTAAGGCTAAAAAACAACATTAAGTATGCCTGTAATTCACTCATAATTATGCTCAATAACCTCTCCCCCCCCCCCCCAAACCAAAAAATAAAATAACTACCAAAATTTTGGAAACCTATACAAATGATAACTTCCACACCAAATTCCAAGAAACATTAATCATAATTTCATATCAGCAAAGAAATGAGAGTATAAAAGTAAGAAAGGGAAGCAAAGCAAGTTACTTTATTCCAAATCACGTAATGATGTGGCTCTCAAGAAAATATCAGTAATATATTCTAATCAAATACATTCAAGAGAGGTTACAGTTTTAATTTGGGTTTAGGTAGGGTGAAAAAGACAATGCTTTGGCACAATTCAGGGATGGCATGGCAATATTGTGGTGTGCTTGGCTAGAAAGAAATAGTTGAACTTTGAAGCATGAGTCTATCCTGAGTGATTTGATATTGGACAATGCAACTTCACTAGCCTCTTTAGGTGCTATAGCAGCTGAGCCTTTCCCAAATTATTCTCTAGGAAAGATGAAGAGAAATTGGACAAATTTGTAGTTTTTAAGAGTTTCTTTGTAAGGACACCTTGTCCTCCTTTTGTATTACCATTGCTAATACTCACTCGGCCCTCTTTTCATGATCAATCTTTAAAGACTTTGACCAAAATATATCATAAATACATACAAAAAACACTCTTGTGATATACTGTTGGAATCCTTTCGGTGCATAACTTTTTATAATTATTTGTAATTAAGTAATTAGACACTAATGGTCAAAGATACATCTTGAAGACCGTGCAAATGAAAATGTAAAATAAATAATGACCAAGAAGGCTGCAAAACACTTTGGCAACCAATCATTAAGAAAATGTAAAACCTAGAACTTAATAATTCAATAAGGATATGTATCAATTTCAGAACAGCCATGGCCTTTGGGAACACAAAAGGAGAGACTTTATAGGGTGCATGATTAAAAATGGAAAAAACTATACAAGAAGAATTTTATCAATTTTAACAGAAAATGCATGAGAAACACTTGTAATTTTAAATTGAAGGAATAAGGAGAAAGGTAGAAAGTGATAGAAGATTTAATTTTTTACCTCACATGTAACAAGTACCACAGTAGCATACTGCTCCCGAAACCAAAATAGTGACTGCTCCTGTGGGAAGCGGCTGCGAAGCCTTGAATCTGTGGTCAATATATATTCAGCTGGCAGTTTCTCCAGAAACACAGGATTTCGAGTCTTGTTATTTAGACAAGCCTTTTTGAATGGAAGCCGCTCTTCAAATAAATTTTTGACATTTGGCCACAAATCACTCACGTCTTCGACTGAAACATATGTGCATTAGCAATCAATGTTGACAAATAAACAAATGTAAATGCAGCATAAAAGAACAAGAACAATTGGATCAATATAGATACGCATGAACATAAGAGCTCAAATAGAGAAAAAGGTATAATTAAAAAAAATAAAAAAAGACCTTGCCTATACCTCCCCTTGTTGAGGCTTCTAATATTGGTAACTGTTATGTCTTCCAGGCTGAAGTCGTGACATGGTATTACAACTTTACACGTATCCATCTCACAATACTAGAACATAGTTTACTCAAATGGCCAATGATCGATAACCATTTTTTAATTTTTTGTGGATTAATGTATGCTGACGTTGATTGTATATTTTTCAATTAATGAGTTTATGTGTTAGTTAAATGTGAGGAGCTTTTCTATGTTTATCTCAAGAAGTACCCCCTCTCCCCACTCCCCACTCCCCCCCCCCACCCCCCACCCCCCTTATCTGTAATCAATCCTACCATCGAATCCCCCTCTCCAATTTTTTCTTGCTTCTACTCCATAAATTCACTCTTCCTTAAAAATAGAAAAGTAGATAACAGCTTCACTAAACCTTACACCTTGCCTACAAATATTTACTTGTCCTAGTATGACTTGTGCTTTCTAAAACTCATAGTGCAACCTATTTGGAAAAAGACTCCCCTATGTCTCACTTAAAGCGACTATCTCAATAAAAAAAAAAAAAGTACGAGGTATGATATCATCTATACCTTGGATAAGGTCATCTAGTAAGTGAGCATCAACTTTTAATATAGTCCAAAATCAATTGCTTAGTAGATTCCTATAATCCTATGTGAAAGATTGATACCCTAGTCCTCAAATTACTAACTTACTAGCGAGCCAATAGCTCGATTGAATCAGCACAATTATCGGTTTACCAAATACTCTATATTACCCACATTATAGAAAATCAAGTTATATGATATCTCAATAGTTTCATATCATTGCTTGCACCCTAGAACTAACATTCTGCATTGTAGTAGTAATCTTACACTCTCAAACATCACAAAACTAAATCAAACAATGTAATTGCGAAATCAAATCAATGCAAATCAAGCGACAAGCAGTTTGACATTGGATCAATCAAACAGCAAATCAAAAAATTATAAATGAAATCAAAATGCCAATCTTCTGAATTGTGCAATTAATCAGCAAAACACAATAATGGAAGTTTACGAGAAGAGAGAGAAAGAGAGTACCAGCAATGACGAGATGATCGCAGGTGTTTTTGATAGCTTGGAACTGCGCTAAGTAATTCGCCATGATTGATCTGAGGATGAAGAAGAAGGAATCATGCGGTGATCGCGCAAGATTTAATCAGGAAGAAGAAGAAAATCCAGGGTTTTGGATTGAATGTGAATTGAAATTATGGTAGATGTTTTCAGTGTTTAAGGGAGTAGGAAAATGGAGCAAAGAAGCATCAACTTTGCTGGTGTTGGTTCAAATGTTGTTGTTCATCCTTCTTACTTCTCCCACCTTTGAGGCTTCTCCTTCTCTCTCCTCTTCTTCTTTGGTGTAGTGAGATCGTTTAGTGTGTGTGTTGTTCTGGTATAGGTAACATTGGTACTCGGTAGAAGAATTGTCTAATCAATTCGGTTTAAAATCTCTCACATGTCAACCTGACTCGAATGAGTTGGTTTAATCAAAAATTGAAAATTGTTCGAATAAATTTATTTAGAGTACTTGTTTCTTAGACTGAAGAAAGTATTGTCCGTTATCCGGTATTGGACTGTCCAATACCTGAATAAAAAAAAATAATATTTGTGAATAAAAAAAGCCAAAATAAAAGAGGAGGCCCCCATTTATATATTTGATAAACATATAACGTTTATATAATCAACTTGGCATCTGACTTGTCCCTGACATTTGCGGCTGACTTGTCTCTACGGATGATTTGTTTTGTCGTGGAAGCCACGTATATTAACGTCTCCTTCCTTATAGGCCTTGTAAATCTACAGGACGTTAGGACATCGTTAAGTAACGTTGACTATAACAATGTTGGAAGTTATTAATCAGTTGGTTGTAAAGGAAAATTTGTCGGCACGCTTTACAGTCGCTCCGGAGATGCTCGAATTGGGCTTGAAGTGACGGAGTGCGAGTTCAGGGGAGCGCTTCGCCGTACTGGTTCAAATCCAATCTGCTGTAAGTCTGTTAATCAAATTATTGAGTTGAGTAATTATATTCCAAACTATTATCCCGAGTCCTTAGTAAATTGGTAGGATTACAGATGAAGTGATGTATTGTATTCAGCAAATGTGGATTTGTGGGCTTAAAATTGTGAATTGTTGAGTGTTTGTGGATTATATAATCGCCTCTTAATTAATTGGGTGTTGTATAAGTTGAATTATGAGTATTTGAGCAAAATTACAAGTTATCACGAAAATGCAATGTCCTAATTTAGATTAATACGCATCATTAAGCCGTTTTGATGCTGACAAATCTCAAAAATTGCTGGTTATGGTGTAGAATTGAACTGTGTTCTTTGTATGCCAAAATGAAGAAGGAATTTGTATGTTTTATGTGTGGAAATATTAATGTTTGTGATTGAATTTGAATTGGGTGTTGCTGTTGACCATTGTTGTAGTGCTGATGGTTTTACAATTTTGCTTGAAATGTTTGTAATGGTTATATTTTGGGTATGTATGTGTTGTAGGTGTACTCATTTTTAGACAATAAATGGAGGTAGGTGGTGTTGAAGTAGGTGTTGGGGGTGGTGGTGTGTTTGATAATGCTGTTGGAAATGGTTCAAATGTTCACGAGGAACCTATGACTGATGATGTGTTTCGAACACCGGTTGTCGATATACCTGTTGAGACTGTGCAGACTGGAGTGGGAAGCAATTATATTGGTGAAGTAACACCCTATGTGGAGGCACCTAGGGTGGGAATGGTGTTCAAGACTTGGTTAGATGTAGAGCAATATTACAAAGAGTATGCAGAACAACAAGGCTTTGGGGTTAGTAGGGTTGCTGGAGTGAAATCTAAGTGTGGTGTTAGAGATAGGATTGCAACAACATGGAGGTGTGAGTGCTATGGTGCGCCAAATATGAGGGCTTTAAGGGAAGCCAAAAAAAGGCCAAAAGGTATGGAAGTTGCAGGTTCAGTTGGGAAAGTATGGGATAGAGTTTGTGAAGATGAAATAAGTAGGCGGAAGAGAAAGTCTAAGAAGTGTGAGTGTAAAGCTATGATCTATGCAGGACGTTCTAGTCAAGGTGATTGGGTAATTAGGAGAGTGGAATTGGAAATCATTCACCTAAACCAGAGGACGCACAACTTGTGAAGGAGTACCGAATGAAGAAATTAACGTCGTCGGTATGGAGAAAATTGTTGCATTTCTTTGATCAGGGTGTACCTATATCCCAAATCTATGGGTGTCTAGAGTTAGATGGTGTTGGTGAAATGGGCTGCATTTGACTGTAAAGGACCTGCAGCACGAAGTGTACAAGGCTAGGAGGTTAAGGATGGTAGGGGGAGATTCAACTGCTATGATGGGATATTTTGAAAAAATGCAAGCTGATAACCAAAACTTCTACCACGCGCAGCGTTTGGATGGTTTGGGACGTTTAAAGGACGTGTTTTGGGTTGATGCTCGAAGTCGCATGGCTTATGAGGAGTTTGGCGACGTTGTGTGCTTTGATGCAACATACCTAACTAATGATTATGATCTCCCGTTTGTGAACTTCGTTGGTGTTAACCATCACGGGCAGACAATTTTTCTAGGGTGCGCTCTAGTTTCCCATGAGGATTGTGATACCTTCAGTTGGATATTCAAACAATGGTTGTCATGTATGAACAACCGTGCTCCAAAAGTCATTCTAACAGATCAGGCAACAGCAATGAGGAAGCCTTTGGAGGAAACCATGCCTAACACTCGACATCGCTGGTGCATTTGGCATATTATGAAGAAATTACCAGAGAAACTCTGGAAATGCGAAAGGTATGACACTTAAATTTGCGATATAATTTTTTTCATCTTAATGAATATATTGATAATATAAGTATCATAGTTTCTGATTCCTTTTGTGTGTAAATATTCTAAACTTTAAGTGTGGTTGTTAGTTTACTTTACAACTATACATATCAATAATGTGTTTGATTTGAGTGTTTGTTCCTTAGGTATGAGGATTTGAAGAAGGAGCTTAAGTCAATTGTCTATGAGAGTCTTAACATAGAGGAATTTGAGAACCGCTGGATTGCCTTCATTGAACACTATAAGCTTCAACATAACGAGTGGCTAACTTACTTGTACGCTGAGCGTCACATGTGGGTACCTGCATTCATGAGGGAGTATTTCTGGGCTGGTATGAAGACAACACAACGTGTGGAGAGTATAAATAGCTTTTTTGATGGTTTTTTGAACCGGAATACCAAGTTGTACGAGTTTCCTGAGAAGTATTCAAAGGCAATGAAAAAAAGGGTTTCAGATGAGACAGATGCTGATGCTAATTGCTCCAAGTTCCTTCGTCGTGTTGCAACTGGTTACAAGTTGGAGAAGGTGTTTCAGAAGTTGTACACTGATCGAATTTTCCAGGAAGTGCAAACAGAATGCATTCGGATGAATTATTGCTGCCCTCGTGAAGAAACAAAGATGACAGAAAATGTTAGTCAATATGTGCTTGAGGATAGAGTCTGGATTGTGCTGGAGGGATCTAATGAGGAGATTATCACCGATAGGAAGAGGTACTATTGTGCTATGTTCAACAAGGAAACTAAAGAGGTTTCTTGTGAATGTAGGAAATTTGAGACCAATGGGATTATGTGTAAACATATTATTAGGGTGTTAGACCTAAATCATGTTTACGACATACCTTCTAAGTACATTTTGGACCGTTGGCGTAAGGACATACTTCGAAAACACACTCTAGTTAAGGTGGCCTACCATGACCCTGCAGAGACGGTGGAGGTGAAAAGATACAAAAAGAAGATGACTGCTTTTGAAGCAATATGTGATGTAGCTGCCATGGTAGATGATGAGAGTGTTGAGATTGTGTTAAAGGGCTTAGCAGAGTTGGAGACAAAAATAACAAAGCGGAGGGGAATGAAATTGGCTCAGACATTTGGCATGAACTACCCTGGAGAGGGAAATGCCACGGTACAGACAGTGTCTGATGGGGGTGCTTCAGCCTATGTAGACCAGAACGGAGAGCTCACCGACACTCAGGATGTTGCACCAACCCCTCAGTCGACATTTGTTGATCCAGTTCCCAAAAAAAGAGGGCGTGGGAGACCCAAGGGAAGTCGTAATAAGACTCAACAGGAGATTGGCTACAAGATTCCACCTAAGAAAAAGGGTAGACATCAGGTTTGTGACCTGTGTTTGTAAATACTATTTTTGTAGTAACTGGTTAAAAAATGTGTTGATCCAGTTGGTCTTTAAACTGATGGTGTGTTTTTATATTGTTTTATAGGTGTGTAATAGCGATGCTTCTGATTTGCAACCTGATTATATGGTGCAAGTTTCTAACAAACTTCCTGTAAGTTCCCAAATAAGATCAGGAATATGAATGTTGGTATTGTTGCGCTGCTTCAGCTATTTGATTATATCTTTTTAAGTAACAGGTTACTCGAAGTAGGACAAGTAAGAAGAAAAAGAATTCCACCGCTGCTACTGAATGTGTGGGCTTGGACCATATTCCTGAAGATGACATACTGCTAAACAGCCCGTTGGGATCATCAACAGTTATGTCACAAAGTTTGTAGTTTCCATCGAGCACTTACATTTTGTGTGTTGGCTGAAATATGGTGAGATGATTGTGTATGACTCCATTGTGTACCCTGTTTCTTTATTTTTTTTTTTGGACTCACTTCATGTGAGTAAACTATTTGTTGGGTTGTTTTTATGCATTACCATGCTGACTATAAGTCATTCATGCTTGCTGATATTGGACTTATATATTAGAGTGGTTGTTTATGACTTATGATTGATTTAAGCTAATATAAATTGAGTTTAGACTTATGGCCTCTTTTTTATTTTATTTTTTTTCTTATGAGGAAAATGAGACTTAAGACCTTATATTACATAATGAATACAATTTCAGAATTGAAATTTGAAGTATTACGTAATGCTTGATATTCATTGTTATATGCTCTAGGTATATGTACATAGTTGTTCCTTAGCTCTTAAAAATTGAATTTGCAATACTGGTTCATTGGTTTCTAATAAAACTAGAAAGGCCTTTGCATCTGGCAATGTAGAATATGCAATTGGGCTAATGGAGTAATTGACTGACTTCATGGCATACTTGATAGGACCAAATACTTATTGGCCTTGTATATTGTACTCAATTGCATGTCTTTGAATTTTTGTGTGTTTGCAAAGTGTTAGTTTATTTTGGGTCATGAACTTTTTTTTCGACATATTTGTTCATTACAATATTATTTAAATTATATTTATGTTTTTAATTATTAAAGTACTTTATATTTATTTTTATATTTTTATTTTAATTTGTTACATGTAGCTTGTCAAATTCATTTTAGCTTAAGTTGGTGTGTTACCAGTTTATATGGCTTATCAATATCTTTAAATGGAATTTATGATAAAAATAGATCACATACTATTATGCTATAGGTATATATACATAGTTGTTCATCAGTTGTTAAAATTGAATTTTCAATAGTGGTACATTGGTTTGTAATAAAATAGGGCTGGCCCATTGCAGCTGGCAATCTAGAAAATGCAATTGGGTTAATGTAGTAAGTGGGCTACCTTAGTGGCATACTTGATTGGCCTTATATATAATTTACCAAATTATTGGGCTTATATATATGCAGTGTACATCGTGATAATCAATTGCATGGCTTTTGTTTGCAAATTGTTAGTTAAATTGGCGCTGGAATTTTAATTACGACATATTTGAAAATAACTTTATTATTAAAATTTTCTTAATTATTTTAATTTTAAAACCTTGAATTTATTTATTTTTTTTTGTTTTTTTAATTTTGTAAATTTTAAAATGGGTCACACCCCAATCCCTATTTATTTTGAAATTAAACAAAAAATAATAAAATTAATAAAAAAATAAAAAATTAACGACTTTTTGTTATTTATTTTCATTTTAAAAGCCTTGTATTTTTATTTATTTTGTTGTTATTTTAATTTTGCACCCAAATCTTTTTATTTAAGTAGGAAAAAAACGGCTTTTTCTTATTTATTTTAATTTTAAAGGCTTTGTATTTATTTATTTTGTTGTTATTTTAATTTTGTAAATTTTAAAACGGCTCAAACCACAATCTTTTTTGTTAGGTGGACGAGTTTGCATCGTATATGTTTGAAAATTTAAAATGCACTCAAGACACTAATCATAGGATTGCAACATGAACTTTCATTATTACAACGAAGTGCATACATTGGCTGAGAGCACTACCTAGGCCGAACATACACCTACTAAAACTTGCATAACTAATACTAATTTCACAAACAATAATATTTAGGTACGTGCTGATTAGTTTAGTAAGCACCACTCTAAGATAGAAGTTGTAGCCACACAAATAAACAACATGAGTAAAATACCCTTGACAGACCTAATAGAATATAAAAATATTAACTATTAACTAACTAGTTGGATATCCCTCTAGTAAGGGACACGATTCACCCTTCACTTACATATTATCACTAATTGCTTGTGCTAGGCTTGATACACATCCCAAAGTATTTGTTGATCCACTTTCTTGGCTTTTCCTTCCTAACGATTTTTCCAACACGACCCAAGTTGAGTCTACGAGCAAAACCAGCCTTGGTTCTTTCCTCGTTGGACCAAGGAATCATGTGGGTCTTGAGGGTTCCTAAAAGGGCATTCGGTGAAAATTGGAGAGTAGTTAAACAAATAATCGGGGGGAGATCCGATGTCGTAGTTAAAGAAGTGAATGAGGCACTCTTCAGCATCTTCATTTTCACCTCCATACTCTAGCGCTAGCAGTGCAGCGAGAGGGGGGTTTGGACCTGCTGCAGGGCCTAGAGGGCAGCTGGGTTTGAGCGGATCATATTTGTACAAGTTGGGTACAAGCAACCTGTCCGTTGATGTGTTTTGGAAGATAACTAGCAAGGCTGTATGTGTGTTTTGTGCAAACTATGTGACTTATGAGGCAAGGATATGTTGGAAGGGCATGCAAACTAGTGCTTGCATTTTATACTAGGTAAAAGCTGAGTACTTATCACTCTTTATCTTATTAGTAAATGAATTTGGTAAACATCATCTCAAATGCATCTAATGCATTGTGCCTCCATTTTGTCACTACCCATAAAGGTTCATCAAATCACCTTCCACATGGACAATGCACATTGGTTTTTAATAGTGTCTAGATGGATTAAATGTAGTAACTCCTATTGTCATCATAAACAAATTGGCTACAATTAAAAAAATAGCTATCCATAATCAACATATCTTTATGTTATACAGATAAGTCTTAAAAACTTATAACTAACAAGGTGAGCAATTTTAGTTTAGCCAAACTCACAAATGTTCCTATTTCAGATTTGGTTTAATCATTTGTACTAACAACCTAAACAATTATTTGCAAGGCCTTTTATAATCAATACATTGAATACATAAAACATAAATAAAGGTTTCCTAATGTAACCTAACTGGAATAACTACAAATATAAAAATAACAACAAAAATTAAAATTTAAAATTTCGCATACACAAGAAAATTCAAATCTTAGCATTCACAACAACACAACCTTTATTTATAGTCTAATATCATACAGGCCATATAAGGCTGTTAGTTACATTAAGAAGCATAGTCCATTAGCCTAACTTAGGTTACTAGGAACAAGTTACCATTAGCCAATTAAACCCACAAACCATAAAATAAATCCTACTACCCATGATTATAGCCACACATCACCTAGATATTTAATATTTCCTAATGATGTCAACACATGTACCCCAGTTGTAGCACACATTAAGATCAAAATGTTTACAAAAGTATTGTTGACTTAATTATCAAAAGCATGCATATAATTAGAGCTATTACAAAATGGACTTAATCAGGATATGATCAAGCCACTTAATTCCTTGTACGCCAAACTTAGAGCAGTGTGTAGGGGCGGTTGGGCATTAAGAATAAGTCATACTCATTCTTAATTCCCGCTCCCTTCACGGTTTGCGCAGAGCTGAGATGCTCGTCTTCATACATGACAATGATTTGCTCGCGTGCCAAGCTCCTCTTTATCCCCCAATCCTCAATAATATCCCCGAGAAGCTCGTTTGGATCCACCACAACCTTAACTTTGATCGGGAAGGACACAACACCACGAAGAAAAAACTGCTTGACACGTGTGTCAACGTTGTGTTCGGGGTTCTACAACCAAATTTGAAATTAAACATAGTACATTAGTTCATTATTAAAAATATATCCCTTAATTTTTAATTCAATGTCATTAATATGTAAAGGTCCAATTAAAAAGCAATTTCACGAAAAGACCAAGAACAACATTTTTTTTTTTTTTTTAATTTGACATGTTGACTTACCATCACCAAACATTCCCACATATAGTCTTTTCTATAATTGAAGCACACGTATTAGTGACATCACTTAATATAATTGGCAAAGTCAAACATACAAGCACAAGTACCTTTTTTTTTTATTGAATGCAATTATGGACGACCATATTTTTTAGAATTGATCAAATTAAGGATCTCTTATTTAAACAATGGAAGTTGCTCTTTGCTTTATTTATACAATACACACACTAAGCATGACAACCCTCCATTTTTAATGTACTCAAAATAGAATTTACCCAAATAAGCAAGGCTAATATACTAGTTCATTAAAAAATTCGTTACATAAGTCGTAATGTAGGAATGAAAGTCTAAAACATATCAACGTTAATGCCTAAATAACATAATAATGATAGAATATATAATTAAACATAATAATAACTCTAACAATAATATTAAATTAATAAGAATAATAAATATTAAATTTAACAACAAATTCAAGAGCTAAGAATCATACCACAGGTCGAACGAAGATTTTCATGTCCCTAACACCAGCTAGAAGAGGAGTGCTAGACCTTGAAATCACCATTCCATTATACTTCTGTATAGTGATCTCATCCTTTTTGCGATCAACCCTAGTTGCATAATCGCCATAGATGTGCACAAAAGTCTCGTCTTCCCTTATGTTGTACAACATACCAGGATCCTTAGGATTGAGGCTACAAACTCGAACAATATAGACCGGAACACGGACTAGATTTGCACTGTTTGCACCCGCCAAGATACTTCCACGCCTAGGTGCAACGGGGAGTGTCTCAAACCCATAGTATGGGCGTGAGAATGGCTGCCTGAAAGGGTTTCGTGGGATAGGTGCAACCAAGGTAGGCTGAGCTCCTACCGCCGAGCTCTCACCAGCACACCCAGGTTGGAAGGTAACTCGGAAACAGCCCCGCACCGCTTCAGAAGGGGGGTAGCAACACCACCAGAAGTCAAGGTGGTGGAAGGTGCTTGGGAGATCCCTAAAAAATCATAGCCTCCGTCGGGAAGCTGTGGAAAGGGCTGGTGTTTTACCTCAGGCAACGGCTGCACTTGCACCTTAGGAAAGGGTTGAACCTGAACTTGAGGAAGTGGTTGTTGGATAGCAGCTACCACGGCTTGCTCACGCTCCGCTGCAGCAACCGCTTCAGGTTGAGTAGCCATGGGCGCTTCGCCATCTTCTACATCAACCACGACTGGAGATCCTCCTCGAGCTCCTCTT